CTCTTCATGAACAAGATAAACCAGTGAATGTAAGAATACGGCCAGAGCCATTGAATCCAAGGGACCCTTGAAGTGCAATAGCAATTGATCTAGACTATGGAACTGGATGGCCCCATGTTGGTTATATATTGTTTCTGAACTATGCAAGTATCCGCACCCATTAATTGCTGCAAGAAATGTCGTGGATGTCTAATATGTTCAGCATATCAAGTATAGGATTGACTTTTTTTAAATAGGATTTTATCCAAAACATTTTGCAGAGACATGGATAATAGCAACTAACTATGTTTAGCAAGTTATTGAAGTGCATTTATTTCAATAGGCTAACTTTTTAGATTTTTTACAGCATTTTTTAAACAAACCATGGGTTATAAATGATAACTTTCTATATCTAATTAAAACAATCTGTCATGTTCACTCATGCAAAATAAGTATATAACTGTAAAAATGTGCTTTAGTAAATAAATGAGTAATTTATCCATGCACTTGACCTACTTTGTTTGTAATTTTTTCAGATTAAAATTAATGCAACAATAAAACAAGAAGATGTCTATTTATATAATTGCACAGGTCAATTCCTGGAGTAACCATCCCCCCGGGACACCCCTGGGAATTTGCCTAATAGACAGTTCACAGGGGTCGGGAATTTACCTGTCATATACGTGCACAGGGGCCAGGTACGTGTACAGGGGCCGGGTATTGGGTTTGGGGATTTGACAAATGGTTTCACTTTTGCAAAACTTATTACCTGTGCCATGCAAATAAAGTTTTATAATATTCCATAACAGCTTAATAGTATAATGTTATTAAATGACTATGCCTATGATATGCATTCATTGTCCCCGGGGTGGGGCATTTTCCACTTTCAGCTTGCCCAAGGGCCGTGCATTAGTCTCCTACTCCTTGTTGTGTCCCGGCACACTTCTTCTATTAACTGTGCACTATCGTAACCAGTCAAATCAAATGCCCAGGTGTGTTCCCGGGGGGGGGGGTGATGGTTACTCCTGGAATTGACTCGTGCATATTTATTAAATTTCAATAAATTGACCACAATACAATAAAAATACAATAAAAACTTGTTTTATTGTTTTAAAACAAGTGGAGCTCTCTGCTGGTTTGAAATGGGCTGTTATAACACTGAGTTGTCCATGATGAGGATTCCGTAGCTCGATTTGCAACAAAAACCCCAGGATCAGGCGATCAGCTCGTATGGGAATATGTACACGATCCAGTCGCGTCGGCCAAAGACAGAAAAAACTTTGAAAATCGCACAGATATAAATTCTACAAAAATATTGAAACAACTCCTAAGTCTTCTAAATAATATTTTAACACTTTAACAAAAATTCATTGAAAATATAATCTTTGATGGCGCAAATTCTTTCCAAGGTATTAGACGCCATTTTAGCGAGCGTCGAGTTGACAATAGTCGCTTCAATGGCCAATATCTCGAAAACTGCCGGGGGATCACCGGGATCATTCCAGCAGATTTAAAGCTTATATATTTTTCTTGATGGCTGCCAAAAATGAGGAAAATCGAACCATGGGAATTCTAGATATTTCATTTTAAACATTGTAAACATATTTAGACTTGAGTCAACACGTCGCGGGGAGTCGTCCAATTTCAAACATCAAAATAACATTGAAAATAACGTTTACCTTAGAGATTTTTGCAGATATCACCAGATCTTTAGCAGTAGTACTATTACACTTGAAATTTTGCAAGAAAATTTTAATATTAATGTTTTTTCTCGATTTATTTTCCGTCGAATACAAATTTTTCTGCCCAAATTCTGCAGAGAACACGATGGAAAATAGAGCGATCTCATTGGTCGAGAGCTCACGTGACAACTCGCTAATTGCTTGTCCGACCTCCTCTGCCAACAAACCAAACAAGTCAAACAAAACCAACAAAGCCAACAAACCCAACAAGTCAAACAAAACAAAACCAACAAGTCAAACAAAACCAACAAGTCGAACAAACCCAACAAGTCCAACAAACCCAACAAGTCCAACAAACCCAACAAGTCGAACAAACTCAACAAACCAAACAAGTCAAACAAAACCAACAAGTCCAACAAGCCAAACAAATCCAACAAGTCAAACAAAACCTACAAGCCCAACAAACCCAACAAGTCCAACAAACCCAACAAACCAAACAAGTCAAACAAGTCAAACAAAACCAACAAAGCCAACAAACCAAACAAGTCAAACAAAACCAACAAGCCAAACAAATCCAACAAGTCAAAAAAAACCAACAAGTCCAACAAACCCAACAAGTCCAACAAACCCAACAAGTCCAACAAACCCAAAAGGTCCAACAAACCCAACAAGTCCAACAAACCCAACAAGTCCAAGAAGTCAAACAAAACCAACAAACCCAACAAGTCCAACAAACTCAACAAACCAAACAAGTCAAACAAAAGCAACAAGTCCAACAAGCCAAACAAATCCAGCAAGTCAAACAAAACCAACAAGCGCAACAAACCCAACAAGTCCAACAAACCCAACAAGTCCAACAAACCCAACAAACCAACAAAACCAACAAGTCAAACAAAACCAACAAGTCAAATAAAATCAACAAACCCAACAAGTCCAACAAGCAAAACAAATCCAACAAGTCAAACAAAACCAACAAGTCCAACAAACCAACAAGTCCAACAAACCAACAAGTCCAACAAACCCAACAAGTCCAACAAACCCAACAAGTCAAACAAATCCAACAAGTCAAACAAAACCAACAAGTCCAACAAACCCAACAAACCAAACAAGTCAAACAAAACCAACAAGCCAAACAAATCCAACAAACCAAACAAAACCAACAAGCGCAACAAACCCAACAAGTCCAACAAACCCAACAAGTCCAACAAATCAAAGAAGTCCAACAAGTCAAACAAAACCAACAAACCCAACAAACCAAACAAGTCAAACAAAACCAACTAGCCAAACAAATCCAACAAGTCAAACAAAACCAACAAGTCCAACAAACCCAACAAGTCCAACAAACCCAACAAGTCCAACAAACCCAACAAGTCCAACAAACCCAACAAGTCCTAGAGGTCAAACAAAACCAACAAGTCCAACAAACCCAACAAGTCAAACAAACCCAACAAGTCCGACAAACCCAACAAACCAACAAAACCAACAAGTCAAAAAAAACCAACAAGTCAAACAAAACCAACAAGTCAAATAAAACCAACAAACCAACAAGTCCAACAAGCAAAACAAATCCAACAAGTCAAACAAAACCAACAAGTCCAACAAACCAACAAGTCCAACAAACCAACAAGTCCAACAAACCCAACAAGTCCAACAAACCCAACAAGTCAAACAAATCCAACAAGTCAAACAAAACCAACAAGTCCAACAAACCCAACAAACCAAACAAGTCAAACAAAACCAACAAGCCAAACAAATCCAACAAACCAAACAAAACCAACAAGCGCAACAAACCCAACAAGTCCAACAAACCCAACAAGTCCAACAAACCAAAGAAGTCAAACAAGTCAAACAAAACCAACAAACCCAACAAACCAAACAAGTCAAACAAAACCAACAAGCCAAACAAATCCAACAAGTCAAACAAAATCAACAAGTCCAACAAACCCAACAAGTCAAACAAAACCAACAAGTCCAACAAACCCAACAAGTCCAAGAGGTCAAACAAAACCAACAAGTCCAACAAACCGAACAAGTCCAAGAGGTCAAACAAAACCAACAAGTCCAACAAACCCAACAAGTCAAACAAACCCAACAAGTCAAACAAAACAAAACCAACAAGTCAAACAAAACCAACAAACCCAACAAGTCCAACAAACCCAGCAAGTCCAACAAACCCAACAAGTTCAACAAACCCAACAAGTCCAACAAACCCAACAAGTCAAACAAAGCCAATAAGTCAAACAAAACCAACAAGTTCAACAAACCCAACAAGTCCTCTACATTTGTTAACACATACTAATATTAACTAACTTAATTAACCAATTTTACATTTATTTATAATTTATTTTAATATAAATAATTTATTTAATCGCGGCACAATATTTTGGAATTGACTTGCAATATTGTGGCTCGAATTATTAATTATAGGGTTATCTGACTAGCTTAGCTTTCAGTTAATTCAGATAACCTGTGTCATCTCAGTTTATAATTTCAATTATTTATATTTAATGGCGCCAATAAAATTATGTTAGTCCAACAAACCCAACAAACCAAACAAGTCAAACGAAACCAACAAGTCCAACAAGCCAAACAAATCCAACAAGTCAAACAAAACCAACAACTCCAACAAACCCCACAAGTCCAACAAGTAAAACAAATCCAACAAGTCAAACAAAACCAACAAGTCCAACAAGCCCAACAAGTCCAACAAACCCAACAAGCCAAACAAATCCAACAAGTCAAACAAACCCAACACGTCCAGCAAGCCAAACAAAACCAACAAACCCAACACGTCAACAAACGGAAGATAAAATCAGTAATTCGTTTCCGGTCTTGTCTGATCTTACCACAGAAACCACAGCGACCAATTTGGATAGAAGAAAATTTATATTGCTTCTTTTCAACACTTTTTCATATTGTTTAATAAATTATAAACAAAAACGTCTTTGTAATGCTATAAAGTCTGTTTTGACCGAAGTACAGAGAAACCGAAGAAAATATGGACGAGAAATTTCGCATTTGTAAGGTGTGGTGGCGTGCGCCGTGCCTGGAATAACATAAAATAACTGAGGAGTGAACAATCGGCTCACAAACACATCCTGAGAGGAAGGTTCTTTTCAACTTTTTAGGTTAGTACGTTTTAGTCAACATACGAATGATCACTATTTACTGTATGTGCGTGTGCAGGGACTCAGGGAGCTGAGCCCCTCCTGTTAGAATTTCCTTTCGGTTCACCCAAATAATTTTTTTCTCTGACTCTCTGCTGCTGTTTATTTTCTGCTTCCTTTGTTGTGGTTGGTAGACAAAAGTTAAAGTTCAGCTGTAAATATATTAAATTCATATTATAACTCGGATAAAACTGATTGAAATTTACATACAGTAGCTTCTTTCTTGCGCAAGGCAAACTTAAATATACAAGAATTTGTATTGATTAGTTTTCAAATTCTAAAAGCTTTCAAATTGGTAATTAGGCAAATATAGCTTTCATTAAGGTACGTTTACACGCTGCGATTTGTCGGGCCGATTTTGCTCGCTGTATGTAAATAACCTGTCGTTAGTACTCGCGTCAGCACCTTGCGATT